AAAAACCATTTAATTACTATTTATTATACTTAGAAATACCATCAACATCTTCCAACATATACCTTGGATAGTTACAACATTTGCAATCTGAATTACTGGATCTACTTTTGGTTCGGGAAAAATACCCTTCCGTCCAGCGCATTCAATATCGAAGCTCAAAATTCTTAACGGAGCAATTTTCAACCACTCGGCCTCAGGCGTATGACTCACGAATTGATCATACCTGTATCGTTAGAGAATTTGAGTGACAATGACGCGAAACGAGGTAAACAAACGGAAGCGAAAAATTACCTTGTTTCAACTTCAATCTGACAGGTCGAAACTTTGGCAGACAATACACGTATTTTGTACGTCCCAGGCGGCAGTTCTATCCAATTTGCTCCGGTAACCTGCAATAAAAGCTCCGACTCAGTCTACAAACCATTTTAACGTCATTACCGAGCCACTAGCCTTACCTTACAGTCGATCATAAAACGCAGGACATACGAAATGTTGCTCTCAAATGTAATTTCACGCAAGCCGTTAAATTGAACAGAGCCTGATTCGATGCTACGTAAGATAGTCAAGGCTATTTGGACTAGAGTATATTCAACATAGCACAACGACTATTCCAGCAAAGGATATTCCTCGCTTTCGACATGAGTCGCGATTCTCCAAAGATAAGCTTCAGAAAAGGACTTTTTTGGTTTCCGTGATAGCCCCAAATACTTTCTTTCATATGTATTTCAATCGTAATAGGCAATTTGTTTCCAGACCCTATTGCATTCTTAAAGTACAATCTAAATTAGAATTCTGCTACTAATAGCGTTTTCATCAGAGTACTCATGGAGCACTTACTTCTATAGCTTTTATCAATGATGGCACGTCATTTTCCTTAAAGCCCGCAGGAGCAGGAATGTAGAAATAGGGCAAGAAGCCAGTGACATGGCATAAAACACTATTGCCACCCTGGGTATCATGGTATTTTCAAGTATGAGGCACCTAGACATGTCAGTAAGCCAAAATGATTAATAATTGCACCTCTTTATTTACAAACCTCAGTTAAGCCGTATAGACGAATGGTCGGGCTTCTAAGCGAATCAATATAATCGTCAACCTCAAGCTGTTGGAAGACTGGAATATGATTGTCAGATCTGTAAAAAAAACGACAACAATGTGCGCTGATACATATACTTACTAATCGGGTTTCGTTTAGTGTCGATCAGAGGTACTTGAGGTCGTGCCCACGTTTGACGATGCTTCTCTCCTACAATAACGGAATCGGCTAGTAACGCGGTGCAATAGTGGTTAAACAATTTATTCGCAACATACCAGACGACGACACCTGCTCTTGCTCGTTAAGTTGTTCTAAATCTTTTTCGAACGTGGATTTCACATTAAGCTTGGTCGCGGTCATCGTGTTTCGTCGGATTGATAAATGTCCACATACACGCGCTCTTATGTGTGAATGTCCGTTAACGGAAGTGATCGGTATTTCACGTGAATTCAGGAATATCTAGATACCCGATACCCAATACTCGATATACCATCAATATGTTCGGTGAATGTGATCTGTTTCCCCCTTATTGGGATTTAATTTACGGCATGTTCTCCTTGCTTCTAATCATGTGACCGATCCGTGTGTAATGATTCATGACGATGTCACACAGTTCTTTGCCTTGCATCCTTAACAGTTCGTTCCTCGGTCGCAAAAGCAACAGCTTTTTACATTTTGGATAAATTTCTTATTGCTCACACAGCTTGGTACGAGGTGAAACTTTGCTTAGCCAAGCAATTCGCCAGAAGGAGGATCTACTTTCTTGGTCTGAGGAGTTCCGAACGTTGTCTGGATTCTTAAAATCACCATGGGAAACACGCTTGTGAAAGATAAGGTCGAAGATAACGTTGATGGCGGACAACTCGTACCTCACGGTGTCTACAAGACGCCCCAGGATTGGAACGAAAAAATTGTACGAAAACTTATCATAGACCGGAAGTTAGCGCCCTTTTACAAAGGACTTTCTGACTATGACGAGACGGCCGAGGTTACTCTAACTACACATAATCATCCAAAAAATGGAGAGCTTAAGAAGGCAGCTATGGGCAGTAGTGATCACAACACACAAGGAACTAAAGATATTAAACGAACATCTACTTTAAACGCAACTGGTCTATCAAAAGGCAAAGAGCCATTACCCAGCAAGTCAATCGAGACACAGTACAAAGGTGCTGTTGAATGTCCTATATGTTTCTTGGTGAGTCTCAATAAGAATATTACCTAACATGTGTGCAGATCAGTGGCGCGGATGCGACTTCCAACAAGAAAACGTAATAGAAAACTGCGGATTACCCTAGTCGTCCTGTTTGGAGATCATTTAGTTATGCTATACCATGAAACGATGAGAAATGTTTGAACTATTGTCTTCAACAAACAGCAAGTTTCGAATGCCGTTGCCTACAATGAATAAGACCTTCCAGATCTTTTGATCCTGTATTTATTAATGTTTCTAACTTTTTTTGACATTTAATTCTCTGCCAATGCTGTAGTATTATCCTCGGAATATTAATTATTCTCGCTGTTGCCTTAAACCGATTTGCACTGAATGCTTTGTACAAATCAAACGGCCAGAAAGTGGCAACCTAGGAGCTAATAACTCTCCTGCCATGTGTCCTTTTTGCGTGGAACCGAATTTTGGCGTTTCGTACAAACCGCCTCCATTTAGCTCTGGGATCATCAACGAAAACTCGGTAGGTTGCTTGTGCTGGAAAGTAGATCCTTAAGAGAATGATCAGGGTTCTTTCCGAATTTTGCACTTTTTGGTTACTTTTCTATATGCCAAAGTCCTGTATATACATTAAGATGATTTATATCACTAAAACTCTGGCAACATGTTTAATGTTATTGTCTATACTATATATATATTCGTCTGTTATTTATGTAAATAATCGGTTCAATTCCTGTCTCAGAATACCAGCAATCCTTTTGTTCTGCACTCTTCCTCGACTTCATCTCTCAACCAATCAGACGGTAAATCCCGGAGAAAGAGCATCAGCTACAAAAGTTCAGAGGTCGTGACAACTGGTGTGTTGATATCCTGGAACATTTTGACCTTTTTTTACGTATTATTTACTGGCTGTAGAGAAGGCCTGTCGGAAGTTGGGGTATACTCGTGATATCTCCTCAATATCATTTGTATTCTTTAGAGCCTATTGCTCTGACTCCTAAGGGGCCACCTTGAGTTTGTCATTCTCTGCAGCCAATATATTTAAAACTTCTATTACTGTATATTGCATTGCTGTATTTTTTGGTACTTACACTTTTCGGTAACTGTAACTTTGCTTGGCTGTATTTTAACTGCTTTTTTCCTTCACATAATCCATTGGCCTTCCTCCCGACTGTCTAGATCAAATTCGACCGGATTGGAATAATCGCGCTCAAACCCAGCGACCAAATGGGCGACGACCATCGGCTTCTTCATCCATAATTGGAAATTCAAGACGTATCTCGTTAAGGCCTCCGGGTAGTGGCTCATACGCAACATCCCCCTCTCCGTCTAGACGTAATAATCTACCGACCGGAAGTGAATATCCAGGGTATTTGCGAAATGTAGGAGCAGATTTAGAAGAGTTAATGGTCATGGAAGCCATACGTTTGAGCTTGTTAGAGCAAGAAGAACGGGAAAGGAGAGAGCGTGAGGAGAGAGAGCATGGAGAACGTTCGCCAGAGAGTGGTGAGGAAACGACACCAATTTCTGATGATTCTCAGCCAACGACAGAAGACAGTGAACTGGAAGCGAATGTTACTGCAACAGTAATGACAATAGACGGAGAGCAGATTGAAGCTTTGTCGACAATTGACACCCAAACAATCCCTGATGAACCTGATGAGAATAAACCAAGCGAAGTTCCCCATTCTAGTGCCGACCCGTTATGTATAGATCGCGTAAACGACAGTGACGAAGACAGAATAATAATAAAAAACACATCAGTCGCATCCTCACCATCGGCCACAGGATCAGATTCATTATTGCCATTTTCTGCAACGGGCTCTAATAATGCCATTATTGCACCTTCTTCTCCATCAACTTGCATTGTCGAAAATATAGCTAATGCAACTTTCCCTACTGCCGAGGGTGACGGTGATAATGCAATGCCTTCATTTGAGTCTCCAGGAGACGACGTAACACCACCTCTCGAAGGCAAACAAAGTGAGGGTGAAGACTCTACTATGATGTGGATATAATGGAACCTCCCTCTTTATAATGGCCCATGGTGGTTTCAGGTGTTACGATAGGTACTGAAATACAGGATATTCACTTGGAAACCCGTCGGAGTCTGCTTAATTCGAAGTTCATCGGGTAAATAATCGTTATGATGGCTAGGCGTTTCTTTGATTAATTGTAACATCTTGTAATTATTTGTTTTCAAAGCTTGCTGCATTTAAGTCTGTAAATGCTAGTGTTAAGTTTCACTTTGCAGGGTAGAAGCCGGTAGTATCCCTGTCTTAACATCATTATCATTCATTCATTTGACATTTGATCAAGGATATTCCTTGGCATTTTTGTGTTAATAGTATTGCGTGTTCGTTTCTTGATTTTTGATATAAATACTGTCACTTCTTTATTGGCGATAATATTATACACAATCAATGTGTGAACTGACTATTACTATTGTTACTAGCTGTCGTCTTGAAATTATTTCCAGGTCGGTGGTCCTTCACGTGACGGTGTGTTAACTGATGTGATACAACTGGATCTTAAAGTACTCTCTGTGCGATTTACGCCATCGATTTTTAATGAACAGTCGAACTTCGACCAGCGACAGTCATACTTCAAAAATCGCAGGCTTAATTTTGTTCGAGGTTCTTTGATCACTAATCTTTTCGTATCATGTATTGGGAGGGCGTGTGCCGCTTGTAAATATCCTTCATCCGGGAGCGTACCGTCGCTTGAGCCTCGTCCATACTAGTAAAAAAAAGAGGACGTCACGACATTATACTGTAGTATTTCACTTTGTATTATTTCGACAATCTACTATCAGCAAAGAACACATCTTCTATTCCGTCTTCAACAATAATAAAACACAACTTCAATTAAAACAAACTACTAGCTATTTTGTTTATTTCGTACTCTTTCCCCTTAAACTTTCCCTCCCTGAGCGCTCGTTACTGTCAATAAATATAGGAAACTGGAAACGGTTAGTCAGTCTACCATAACGTAAATATGTCTTCAGTACCGCCTCCCAAACCACGAAGACGCCTTTCCTTCCATACTAAACGCCTGTCTCGCAAGGACGCTTCCCTAGAATCGCAGTCTCCAACAAACAAAGGCGTTAATATGAGTTCCAGAGGACTTTTTCGTAAATCCACCTCTGGGAAGGCATCGTCCTCCACAGATGCCCCTCAAGACAATACGTTCTCCAAGATCCAGGCATTGGCGCGCGATCCTGTATCGCGCTTTAAAGATAACTTGAAGACTGTCGTGGAAGAAAAGAGCTTAGAACTTGGGAATATGGCGAAAGAAACTAGTTTGGCTCTAGGCAAACGTAGCAAGGAGGTTGTAGAACGATTGAAGAAACGAAACAACGGTGAGTATTATCTCTTTTGGGTTTTTGGGAAAAGTCATATTGCCTATGAAGGTCATTATCTTATTTACCATTAGCAAAATTCTTTTCTGCATACAATCCTAATTATGTTATTACGTTATTCTAAATACAAACACATTGACCAAACAGCACAAAACGAACATTTAACAAACGTCAATATCTTTGGCTTGCCACTAAAAACGGCCACCAAGTTGACACGGATTGAAAAGGACAAAAGGTTTATTCATAAAGACCCATCAAAATATTGGTTGCCTGCCATCATGGTTAGATGTCTTGAATTCTTGGATACGTATGGTAATATCTATACATGCTTCATCAAGTTTTCGTTTTGTTCGTATAATGTTTATATATTTGATATTCCTGCGTCTTATTGATTAACAAATAGGTGTGAGGGAAGTCGGTATATATAGGTAGGTATTATTTTTAATTAGCAGTAGGAAATATTTATTCAGGACATAAAACGCGAGAAGCATCCTTCGTCTGTTGGTAATCTTATATCGGATGTTTGCATCACAGAGTCTGTGCGAGTCAAGTGGCTGTTGAACGAATACGTGGCGTTTTTAATTCAGGTTAGTAGTTTATTATTACAACGTGATTGTTTATCGGCATTCTATAAACAATTTCTTTATCTCTAGGTGCGGATTTAAATTTTCTACAAAGCACGCATGAGGATCCGCATGCGGTGGCAGCATTGTTGAGACGATATTTGAGAGAACGTAAGTTGTATATATTGTCAATATTAATGGTGAGAACTATATACAAGGTACTGAGACTGACGATTTTATTTATGTCAATCATTATTTATTCCCGACCTATTAATAGTACCGGAACCAATACTAACAACAACCCTCGCGGGAGAGTTTAACGCTTGTGTACAGCATTATGCAAATTCGGCGTACGCCACTTCAAACTTTATAGCTCCATCATCGACATTACTTTTTACTTCACCCGTAGTGGTGCCTGACGGATTACCTCATGCTTTAGCGTCTATTGTTTCTCGACTGCCACCATACCATTTTTACCTCCTCCGTGCCCTTTCTTCACATTTGGCTCGTGTCAATAATAACAGTGAAATTAATAAGATGAATATCTCTAACCTTGGGCTAATCTTTTGCCCATCGTTAAGCATAGGGTCAATATTATTGAAAGCTTTCGTCGAACATTTAGATATTGTATTTGGGGGTCAGTGTCAGTTGGAAGAACAAGAATTACTGGAGGAGGAACAAGAAAATCCGGTCAAGGAAAAGCAAGTAACGGATATATATCGAACAACAAATATCTCAGAAGAGTTCTCGAAGAGTATAAAAGACTTATTAACATTCGAAGAGAAAGCAGTGAAATCATCTGGTCACTCTTTGCCTTCTTCTTTCTCGTCGTCATACTCTTCTACTAATGTGAATGAAGATGGCATATATAGTAATACTACCCAGATGACTGCAAACACCAAAGACGCTGTGAAATATGGCACGATCTCTACGGTCAGAACTCGAGAGTCTCTACGAGCTATTTCATCATCGCCGTCTTTATATTCGATGCAAATGAAGGAAGCAAATAATTCCCAACCAATTAATGGAACGAATGCTAGTAATTCTTTTGGTGGAAATAAAGTACTCTTTTCCCTCTCTGACGTGACAAATGATAATCAAAATCACAACGTGAGTACCGCTGCTCTCATGCCGGAGCCTTCAGATCACAATAATTCTGCCGTTAGTAGTTTCTATCGAAGACGCACGAGGTCTGCAGGTGTTCGTAATGTTCCTTTGAATTTGTGGGATTATTCGTCCTCGTCCGCAACGTCCTCAGATGACGAAGGAAATGCTGGTGATAAATCAGAGGAAGTTGAAGACGCTTCGCCCAAATTAATGGCATTCAATTACTTTGATCAATCAGGGGTTGAAACTCTCGGTGTGCTCAACTTATCGCCTAGAGCCTCGCATCAATGGGCATTGCATAACAATGGAGTAGATGGTAAAAAGTCAGCAACAACATCCGTCTTAAATCGACGTCCAAGCTTAGAAGAGAGAGAGTATTGGAAAAGAACTATTCTGACGGCTTCGTCCGAAGAGATTGCCCATAAGAATTTGGATGGTAAAAGTGATGAAACGGGGTCAAAGGCTGAGGAACATGGTTCACATGGGCCGAAGGATGCTATAGAAGTAGCTCCGGGCTTGAATGGAGAGTTGAATGTGATGAAGGGTAAAAGTTTAAAAAGTGTATCCAATATCTTAGGAATGGGTTAATATTTGAAGACGAGCTTTTCCTAAACTTATTGGACAATATGATACCAGTATCTCTTGCTATATTACCATTTTGTTAGTTACAGCAGTGCGCAAGGACGTAATGCTCGTACCCTACGATAATCGAATCATATGCAAGTTCGAGTTTGATACTCGAATTCTATTTTATCTCGATTGATTATCTTGAATTCTTCTCGTAGTTATTTTGACTTGGGGCTTGTTTTCTTTTTTTGGGGGAGGGTTTTTTGGATGTATCTTAGCGTTACTTTGTCTTTACCTTTTTCGTGTATTTGTAATTTTTTTACCTCTGTCTTATATTTCTTATTAGCGATATACAGGAAGAACAGGTTTAAATTCTGGGCGTGGATATGATCTTTCTCTTGTATGCCAATTTATTGTATAAAAGCATTTGTGCCTGTACAGAGACCGAATGAGTAGGATTCAAGAGCGTAGTATTTAAGCTGTCTTGATTCACAGAGAATCTCTTATTACATCATCAATCGCAAAAGTATATACAACTATATATATATACATATATTTTATATTAATATCTCTCATATAAACGTAAACTTTTCACACTCATGAATCAAGTTATGGTATATGGCGGTTAAAGGGTTTGCAATATAAACAACCACCTGCTCAAATTCACCGACCACCCCATTTTTTCGCTAATTGCGCATAATTTCATAATGAACGACTGCTTCTTCTGACCTACAAATCTGCAAAATTTCATTGCGCATTAATACTGTATATAATATTAATACCCGTTTTCACGTAACCGGAGAGAGAAATTACGCATCATGTTTATAAAATCTTTTCGGTAATAATACCACACAAATTTATATTCATTCGAATGATTGCAAGGTTATTAAAAAAAATGTATATATAATATGCATATTATTAAATGTGGAATTACAATTGCAAGGCAGTTTACAAACTTGTGCTGCACACATTGTGAAAACTCGAGGGTTTTTTTCATATTGCTAGTAGAACGACACGCAGTACGGTCAGGAAGAATGGAAGAAAGCAACCAGGAGTGGTGAACATGGCGATGGAAAGGGAATAGCAATAGTAATAGTGTGAGGCTGATTACATGTAACCTTTTATCAACATGAAGAGTAGTTAATGGTGGAATATTAAATAGACATTTAGTACCATTTATAAAATATACATCAGTTCATACGTACAAGTAATTTCAGAATGCGTAATGACATGGCCAGGACAGAGTTCTAATATCAGTCCCATTGAACATCCATAGGATGAGCTTGAACGAAAATGAGATTTACGTGTACTAGAGGGAATTCCCGAATGTAGAACTATTCTGGGCATGCAGAGCAAAAGCTATGTAACCAAATGCAGAGGGGGGGGGGGAGATAAAAGTATTGCATTGTCATAATTTATATAAAATAAAATAAAACCAACTTTTGGACCAATTACTTCATCAGTTGTCTAAATGAAATATTAATGTTTATTTAATATAAAGTGCAGAATAATAAAGCAGTAAAAAACTCAATTTTCTGCTTTGGCGCATCAATGAGTCTCGCTAAGGAGCTTATTCCTCATAATCACGGTAAAAAAAACTAGCTAGACGTAAGAACATAACAATCGCAAAAATAACAAAATACTATCACACAACAGTTCCAACGGGTTTTCGCAGCTTACTACTATAAATTGTGAAAACTTTGCAAAATATGATGAATAAAATAAAAGTGGAATCTGCATCCGCGAAAATACACGTATACCATAAGTTGTTATTATCATGCCTAAAAAAATCCAAGCTGTGGTTGCTGCAAATGGAGAAAATACAGAATATTGTCATTTACTTTAAGGAAATATTTGTATTTTTTTTATGTTTAAGCAAATTTTCAATATCTTAAAAATAAAACTGTACAATACTTTCCATATGTGCCAAAGTAGAAAATCGAGTTTATTATTCTGCTCATAATGACACGTTATATTAAATAAACATTAATATTTTATTTAGACAACAGATGAAGTAATTGGTCCAAAAGTTGGTTTTTTTTTTTTATTTCATATAGGAATTAAATAACTTATAACTGTGCAATACTTTTGTCCCCATCCCACGTATGTGGTTATGCCTGAATGCCGTTCCAGATGTATGCTTTGGATTTTCATATACATATACACTCCCGTGGCCTATATTTGCAATTAAATGAGAATGTTGGCATAATGAGCAATGCAATCACTGCAAAATTAATACTGAATTTAGTGCACCCTCTAGATACCCTCCATATATACATGCATGCCAAGTCTTATTCCCAAGCTCGGGGGTAGTAAATATATGCACTCCCGTGATTTTCATGTGATCTTGTACAACAAATGATAATGATAACTAAACAAAGTAACAATTTTATCTGGGGCCCTTCCCATATTCACCCCCGATTTGAAAAATCCATTCTTTCTCTTTCTGATGGTGGTATCTCTCTACCTAACTTTAAAATTGAATGCAGAATTAGACATGCCAAACTAATCTCACGTGCTTTTGATCCAGATCCTCCCTTTTGGACAAAAGCAATGAATCAATTTACCATTAATCATTTCTCCCAATCTCTACCATCTTGCATGATTAATCGTTGAGGCACCTGCTTACAAATAGAACCCCTTCACTCTTGCCTTAATGCATCTAGACTCATTGAAAACCAGAATCCTTATACCATCACTTCCTCCCCCTCCCTTTCTTCCCTTTGTTCCATTCTCCTCATCCCCCTATACTCCATTTTCTCCTTCTACTCACATAGGTCCCTTATCTTGGAAAGAAATTCACCATCACCATCATCCCCACAAAGTTTCTGACCTGTTATGGAAAATTGCCCATCAAAACCTTCCCATTGGTAACTGTATTTCATCTGTTTCTCCTCACTCCTCCTTTTGTCCATGGTGTCCTCATATTCTTAACTCCATCACACATCTCTTCCATTCCTGCCCCTTCTCATCTAACCTCTGGAACATTTCCTCCTCCTTCTTCCACCTCATATTACCCTACTCATCTCCATTTTCCCTTTATTCATCCACTAATCACTCTCCTTCTATTAAACAAATGGGTCATCTTATCCAATCTGCTGTTCTTTGGACCATTTGGACTTCTTACACATCAACCTCATTTGGCTCTGCCTCCCCTCCTTCTTCTGCAGAACTCACTTCCTCCCTCATCAAACTCCTCCTTTCTTATAAATCCATTACTTCTTCCCTTCCTTGGCCCTCTATATCTGAAATTTATAGATTCTCCTCTACCTTATCTTCT